CATGCCAATTGCAACGGAAATCGCGCAGTTCCATCTCATTCCTGGGCATGACCCCAGGGAACCCGACTCGTCGGCTGCCCGGTTCTTACAGAGGGTCTTTGACATAGTGAAGCAACGGGAAGGGTTTATTCGTGGCTATTGGGTGAGTACAGTTCTTGGACCGCGACCAATGCCTTTTCCTTGACACCAGGAAGGGCGTCCAGGATGAAAATCCAAGAATCCTTGTTGTGTTTGTTGGTAAGGCTCGGAATCAAATTTCCGCTTCGATTGGGCCACTCTCTGCTCACAGGAGCTGACGTCTGACAGATTGGGAAGATATCAGACATCACCAAGATCTGATCAACAGCGACGACTTCACAGCTATGACCGGAAACCTGGTCAATCTAGTGACCTTTGAGAACGGACCGCCTCTTGTTAGTGAGTAAAGTCGATGATCTTACGTTGACGCAGCCCACCAGGGGACTAAACGACTGATCAGCACACACGAACTTTACCTCCGACGCCGCGAGTGCTTGTCAAGCATCCGTCACTGCGGTAAAAACATTCAAGTTACCCGAGGGTGCGAGCGAAGAGCAGCAATCAGCATTGGAGGATTCGTTCCTTAGCCTCGCGGAATTCTGTATGGCGGAGACTCCATGTAGTGGATATGCTTGCGGTTGGGGTAAGGATTGTGCTCAACAGTACGGAGTAGCTGCATTGTGACTGACTCGAGCACCAGTCCTCGAGACACTTCCAGACGAACACGTCCCGGAGTGCAAGACGCTTGCCTTCACTGGCCTTTTTGGCTGGCCAGCGAAGGAAGACTCTGTGAGTTTGAGGGGAAACCCTGCAGTTGCGAAAGCGATAGAGCCGGTTCTAGGAATCGCTCTCCCTCGGAAACAGGGAGACTCTTTCCACGTCAGCTTGCGAAGTTTTGGGTAATCCTGGGTATTATGTACGAGAGAAATACTCACAGCTTCCCCACCTTCAATTCTTTACCACATCCACAGCTGCATGCACTATTACTCCGCTGCCTCTGTAAGGAGTCCCAGTGGACATGATTGCCGAGGATGGATCCCTCCGCTACCCACAAGTCGATCTCAATTGCGACAGCTCGCCAAAGTGGCGCGTTTCTTCAAGACAACCGAGCCATTAAGCGAGATCTGGGGAAATTGGTCGACCCGTGCCCAGCCAATCATGGAGCTGATGTTACAGCAAAGTTTAGCTTCAACATGGTTCATCTAATGGTCGCCAGCCTTAGTTCAACGCCACTCGAAGCCTTTCCTTCAGAACTGTCAACAAACACTTACCAAGTACCTGTCTTCCAAAGCAGAGATGCCCGACGATTATTGCCCCAGCGACTGAGCAGTTCGAAGTTCTCCTTCCTATCGAGACGATCTCGTGCCGATATCAGCTCTCCACATTGCAAGCTGCACGCGAGCACGAGCTGAAATTCTCCAATCTAGGTAGAAGCAGCGCTAGTTGCCCATCCTCGCTCCTTCGGCCGTTCAAACAAGTTTGCGTGTATTCACATGGTTGCCCGTCTTCAAGGACAACTGGCGCGAGCTCCAGAGGGGAGTGTGTGACAAGCTCATCCACCCGAATAGCCAAGTCAAAGTCTGGCGATGTTGATGAAGGAATACTTGCAAGGCGTGTTTTGGAAACTCTGACCTGGCGCTTTTCCGGCTCGATCCGTCACTTCCGGCCCTGTTGTCATCTCTTCTTTGTCTAAACAAAGCTCCTGGGCTACTTGCTGTCAACGATAGGACGAGCATAGACCTCAGATCCCGAGGAGTGCCAGGAACCGTTCCTGCTTACTGTTTGACTGTGCCACTAACCAATCAGTTCGTTCATGACGACCTGAGGGATCTGGGACTCTAACTACGGCGCAATTGCTGCATTGTCTTGTGTTGGTTAGGTTGTTTGGGATTAAAGTTTGAGGGCGAGGGCCATCATGAACATCCTGGCAGTGTTGTCCCCGCTAACTAGGTAGGTTTGTTGCCGACCCCAGTGCATACGAGGTGAAGCATACTATGGATATCGTCACACTTGTTTACGGAGATATCGAAGCCCCTTCTCTCATGTTATATGGACACTGCTGCTTCTGCTACTGGGACATGGGTTCCTATTCTTGTGTCCGTTGGAACAAGCCTCTGAGTCTTCATCTATCCCACCACTCTCCTTTCAATATGAAGTCCTTGGATCTGTCTTCGTCCCTGTGGGCACTCATGCTGCTGCCGAGCCTCTCACATGCCTACTGGCGTATGGCATGCAGTGTTTCTCAGACTGCACGAATCGACCTCATACTCAACCCAGGCGACGTGTCTGGACACGTACACAAGTTTGCAGGCGGAAGCAGTCAGTTCTCCCAACTCCAGGATTCGATCCTCTTGCTGATTTCTTAGATGTCAACCAAAATTCCGACTTCAATTCCCTACAATCCTCAAACTGTTCGTCGTGCGAAGTTCAAAAGGACAAATCGGCCTACTGGACCCCCCAACTGTACTATGCTCACGCAAACGGCTCGTTCGAAGAAGTACCAAACTATGGAATGACGGTGTATTACGTTGGTATGTGACAGTGGTTTCTGCCTCGTTCGATGGCTGACTATTCAATGAGGCCGCGGGGGAGATCCTTCTAACACGGTACCATTTCCGCCTGGATTCAAGATGATCACGGGAGACAGCCGACTGCGATCTTACGACAACACGACTTTAACATATTTGAATACCAGGCCTGTGGCCGATAGGTGTGTCTTTCCTCGATGACTGCACAGACTCAACTGCTAATCTCTTTGCTAGGGTAAGTTTCCATTGCATAGACGAGGCTAACGATATTCCAGAACAACATTACATGTTTCGTACCGACTGTGTCAATGGCATGAGAGCTCAGGTCAACTTTCAGTCCTGCTGGGACGGAGTTAACCTTTATCTCGACAACAACGCCCACGTCGATTATTTGTCGGGCATCGACTACGGCGAATGCCCCCCTTCGCATCCAGTCCACATTCCTGGCCTGTTCTTTGAGTGAGCATTCTCCCTTTACTGGAACGGGCACAAGCTTACTTCAATCAGAGTCCTTTACTGGACAAACTCGATAGATCAATCAGCTGGTGGCCAATTTGTCTTCTCCAACGGTGATACTACTGGATATGGCTTCCACGGCGATTTCCTCAACGGTTGGGACATGGACGTACAAACTGGTGCTGTTCAAGATTGCCTCTACACAGACAACGGCGGGGTGGTGAGCGCATGCTCTTACCTCTCTCCAAGTGACGATATCAATTTTCCACGCGATTGCTTAGAACAGCCATCTGTCTTTGACGAGCCTGTGCACGGCATGCTTGATGCTTTGCCAGGTTGCAATCCTATCACGAGTGGTCCTGATATGGCTCCACAGGTCGTGTGTCCTCTCAACTCTCATACACTCAACGCAGCGATCCAAACGTCAATCTCCAGCGCCACATCTACTACAGCTACCTCTTCTTCGGATGTTGCGGCGATCACCACAGTAACTGATTCCAGCCTGTCAGCCACGACCGATGTATTCACTACTTCGAGCTCAACTCCCATCACCTCGACGAGTCCGAGTGCGTCTTCTACCGCTACAGAGTCATCATCCTTTGACCCGCCTCTGCGACCACTTACCGTGACACTCTCCGATGAGTTGACTCCAACCACCGAATCAGGAAGTAGTATCTTCAGCGCCCCGTTTAGTCCTGAAAATACATTCGTGTTCACAGACTCGAGCGCCGTGGTTCAGTCAACCTTTTCGGCAGGCTTCTTCGCTACTGAAACGGACGGGGGCATATTCGCACCAATAGCAACGAGCACTAGCGACTCAGTATCGATGGCTGGGAGCGATTCTATCTCGACTGGTCCCTCCGTAACGGACACTCCGTTATTGGCCTTCCTCACTCCTACCGTTTCTGTTGATGCAGTGCCAGGAAGTGGGCTATTGACGAACACCATTACCGGGTGGATTACCTCGATATTGAGAGGCCCCAATGTTCTTCCAGCAAGTTTCGTCGCTATAGGCAGCACTCCAGGTGCCACATCCGCACCTGCTGCCACGGCATCAAGCATACAGACGACGTCAGCGTCATCTGAAAACACTTCATCTTCATCCGGAACTGCAGGCGTGGCGGGAACTGAGCCCCTGTTCTCTCCGACCACCACTTTCACGACAATCGCGACTACCACTCCTACGAATGTAAGCGGTAGCAGCAGCATCATTGTCTCTTCAACCCTGGATCCCAGCGACGCTTTCCTGTGTTCTCTTTACGCAGTTTTCACGATCGAGGGATGTCCGCCTCCTGTAACTACTTCATCAACCACGATTTCCACCGCAGCAACCCCCTCGGCGCCAGTTACAACACCCTTTAGAATTCGAGGCCGCGAAGTGTTCTTGACAGGAAGATAGGGAGGACCTTGTTAGCAGGAAAGTATTATGTGGACATTAACACTAATTAGCGACAGAGATCGAGCATACTGATATCTAGGGACGCATCATCACCAGGACAGATTATTCAGGAGTACGGTGCTACGGTACAATGAGAGATACCCAGAGGGCAAAATTTTTGATCTTGGACGTGTACAGTTCGGGCCGGAGTATTATTGAGGATTTATCAGGAAGACGCCACCGTGACGCCAGACACTTTTGTAAAGGGAGGGATTGGAAGGGAAAGCAATCTAAGGAGTTAAACATGAGCATTGTCAGAAGCAAATGCAAGGTGCCATCAGTTTCAATACGCCTTGTGCCAGTACCCAGTAATTTGGAGGCTTCTAAGTTCCTTCCGAGAGTGCCCCTGTCAATAAGTTGCCGAGCCTTGCAAGCCTTGCGAGCAAGTGAGCTCAGGTGACCTTCACCTACGGCGCAGCACACGATTCGTAGTGGCAGTAATTCTTTCCCTCTTTCGGTTGTCAAGCCATCGCAGCTCCGATCGATGTTCAGACATAATCTTTCGCACACCCCTTCTCCCATGCCGCGTGCTGCAGTATCTTTCACATTGCCCCGATGTTATGACTAAAGGCCTCTCTGCAGCCAGCTGCATTTCACATCAAGGTTCAAGATTTGCGTGGATACCGGACGCTCTGTTGACGGACACGTTCAATCGCTTTTGTCACCACAAGCGGTATGGCAGCAGCGTGCCAGGCCCCTTGGAGGCACAACGCCGTGCTGCGAAACGCAAGAATACGAGTTTGGCCCATGCCAGTCTTGGAGGCATCTCCACCGATCCCTCGATAGTCCTTGGGAGCTCTGCGAACAAGCTAGCTTGGTGGCAGTCTCTCAAGGACGCAGAAGCAGACTCAGGTATGCGCCACATAGCGATAAACGCTCTAGAAGGCTCCTGCTCACCTCGTCGGCTTTAGTTTCTTCTCGAGTCCTGCCGCCATGGCTTTTCCCCTTTGCGAGCTCAGTCGCCGACTCGAAGCCCAGCTCCGTCGCAATCGAGACAAATAGGACTCAGTTAGAGCCGAGAAAAATATCTGAACAGGAAACGATGCGGCTGTGCCGATGCGAAACTCTAACCGAGATAAAGGACTGGATTCAAGAAGAGGGCTTCAACTTGCGTGAAAATGCTCATGTCGGGGCGGCAATACCAAGACACATGCTACAAATGGATTTCGAGACACACGAGATCGCGTCCTACATTCGTGACCCAATGTTTCATCCGCCGGGGACGTCATTTATCTTGCAATTAGCACACGGCTTGCTCGGCCGTACTTGGGACGCCGCCTCTTGGGGCGTCTTGCACGATGCACTTTGTTCCGCTACTGAACTTGGGCTCCTCAACGTCAATGATCTTAAAGAGGTTATTACCGAATTGGTTAATCTGGCTGAAGTGCAGCTGACGGACGCCAACGGGAGGCGAAAGAGGGTGAAGGATAACGCCAAAATGTACCTGATCTACGGGATGCTAGAATCTCTAGATCGCTCCACAGTCTTACGACTCACCGACCTTGGGAGCTCCTTTCTGTCCGGACTCTTCTCAAATTTTGCGACACTTCGATACTACCGCGGCTGGTGCCGAAAACTATTGTGGCGTCTCCTGCCTTGGGCTCCGAAGTCTCATGTTGCTGTCATCCGCCGGATTACACTAAATCAGCTCCAGCATATCTGTCGACATAATCCTCACGAGAAAGTCGGGCAAATGCTCGCAAAAAGGCTCGCAGTGGTCGACCCGGAAATTCTAGAAGTGACCCTGATTGATATAACGGAGAAATTGCTGAGCATGTCAATGGAATCCGGCACAATGCTGTACAAGTACCTCTGGTACCACTGGTGTGGCACATTGGCCGTTCTGGGATCTCCAGCTTTCAATGTCAGTCTGACACAGCGAGCATGGACTTCTGCGCAATCCGCCAAAAGCTCTCTAGCACAAGATCAACGTTTATTGGCATTTGCCTGGACTACTATGCATCTCTGTCAAGACTGGCGAACGTCCGCAGACGCATTGGATCGACTGCAATTCCTTGATCACTTCGAAAAATTGCTTAGGTCAATACCGGAGTTTACTGAGGATTTCCTGGATCATGCCGTCATTGCGCTTAGTGACATGACATTGCCGAACAAACATATTCTCCTTCGAAATCTTGCGAGGCTTTCTGTCAAAGCTGGGGCACTGCTTCCTGCGTTGGACGCCAGATCTGCTGCCAAGTCAATATTGGAGCCGGGAATATCTCCTAGCTTGATCGATGAGCGCACTCAGAACGCCCATTTTGAGGGTAACGAGGCGTTAGCGGAGCTGATAGAGAGTTCCAACAACGATCTCTCCGCCTTCAAGATTTTGTCACGGAGGATGATCCAGAAAAGTACGGCTTCATTCGGTTTTGTTTGCCATCTTTTAGAGACCAACCCGCTTTTCAAGTTGGCTTTAAGAACACCTCATGTTTTCTCTCAACGGCCGGGCGATGTTGACAAGGGGACGTGGCGAGTGGGCACCGGTATATTTGCCGACCTTAGTACTCCTGGTGGTGAGATTGAGACGGCTATGTCTTCTAGATCGGAACGTGCGCTGAACAACTCGAGCTTGCCAAGCAGAGACGAAGTAATCGATCTGATCAGTCATCTCGCACTCTCATTTGCGTCATCGACTGTTGCTACTCCTCGCGCTGCACTTCGTAGGGTTTACTGGTGCTATCTCTTCCTGCGACGCTATGGAGTACCTGTCCCACCTGCCATTACTCGAGCGCTATGGCATGTCGGCGTCACACGATACGGGGATCAAGGTACATCTGCGACACTTTTCAAGTGGATTCTATTGCAAGTGAGCCGGGCAGAAGGCGAGGCGGTGGCAAGCCTATTGCTCTGGAATGAGACATTTCGTCAGATGCGGCAAGAGCAGATAGCCGCTTGGACCAAAATCGACGAAGATGAGGAAAAGAGATTGCTTGCCGATTTAGAAGCTGGTGCCGCAAACAACAAAGAGGACGAGGAGGAGCAGGCGGTGTTCATGTCTGCCGCGTCTGGGTCTTCAGACAACGACCTCTTCAACAGCGAGGAAGCTACAGACCCAGAATTGCTGAAGAAAATCATATTCCTCAAGTCCGAGCCGCCGGACAAGCCGGTTTGGTTGCCAAGGGCACAAAGGAAACCCAATTCTGAGGGATGCTCGACGACAGAGGAGAAGAAGCAGCAGCAGGAGATATTACAGCGCAAGGCGGCCGAAGCACGCAAAGTAGCGAATTTATTGTTTCGAGATTGATACGGGACATGCAGGAACTATAGGACGGGCGACACGGATGAATGTTCCAGAGCTGACGACTATATATAAGCACACACGATATCAATTATGAACAGATACGGTCAAAACGCGCCCTCTTCCGCCGGTACCTTCTTCCTGGTCTCTCTCCCCCTTTTCTGACAGTGGTTTGTCGTGCGTGAACTAGGGGATTACCCAGTCCGCTTCCCCAGAGATGCTATGCTGTGTGCGAGGCTCAAGCCTTGTCACGGAGTCGTCATGCATGGTGCACGCTTCATGGGCAAAAATCCAAACCGGCTTGCAGCAGTATTAGGCACGTATGCGTGTTACTGTAGGAAAGGAAGGAAGAGCACGCGGCGCGAAGATCCCTGGCCACCTGGAACGGGACGGACTAATGACGCCCACATACACAGCGCACCTATGCACCTGGGTAGATGGCTACTGTACACCATACGTGTTTTGTGGCTCGATATATAACTGATATGAACTGTCGGTCCCCATCCTTCGAAACCGAAGCTAGTCGCGGACGTACGGCAGAGAGCAAAACACAAACATTGGCGACGTTCTAAGCAACGACAAATCGTCCATGAACCACTGATATGGCTACATTGATGCCCTCTGCATGATTCTGTTCTGTTTTGGGGGTTCCCTGCAAACCCCAAAAGCCCCAACAGCAAAAAGATCGCGGAGATATCAATCACCTGTCATCCGAAGGAAGGCGGCAACGGCAACGACAATGTCCCTGAATCGTGGATCAATAGCATGACTGACTGACAAGTTCGAAAGCAGGATGCAGAAGCAGTCAGTCAAACTCGCGTGGTACGGCGACTGGACATGCGCATGGGACAGTGCTGTGAGAATGCTACACAACGATCCGATACATTCGGTGAACTTGGCCGTTTTCCATCTTTGCAAGATAGCATAAGCAAGGAAAGTAACAGGATAGGTGCAATGCTTGCTCCCACCTACCTTGAAAAGCAGGGGCCTGCATGGCCAGTTAAATCCAGTTTCTTTTTTTTTGGCATCCTAGAGAACAGGCGGATCTACCACCTTGCTCCGAGTGGATACCTCTGCGCTCCAAACACGAAGGTCATGCCTCGACCCTGACAAGAGGTACGAACCGCGATCCTGGCCTGTGCTTGTTGACATTGATTTGTGGCGCGACTTGCGTTGCACAGCATCTCTCGCTATTGGTGAGACCAAAAAATGACACGTTCGCTGCATGTAACAGAGATCACCAAATGTTAAGCCTCACTTTTGAGGCATGCGGTCGATCCTGGTCTGACTCCACGAGTGTCATACGCAGGACCAGGTGCTCGCCAAGTAGGACTTTGCTAGTCCATAGCTAGCTGTATGCCTGTTCCAGCTGGGATATTTCCCATCGGTCATGATTCCATGAAAAGCATGAACGGCACATGGTAGTTTGAGAAATAGAATCCCTACCCACCAGTAGGAGCTATGCTTTTAGAAAGGTGCCCCGGGCACCATTTCGACACCCGGCGGGCCCAGACTCACCGATCAGCTCGAATGAGAGAACCTTGCCTTGCCATTTTTGACCCATCATCGGAAAGTTTGTAGCATACTGCAAGGAATTGGAGACATGGTTTTGGGGGGGTTAGCCAGGAAAGGTGGCGATGCAGAGTGAGCAAATCAGCATGGCCTGCTAAGGACCCTCCGCTCTGGCTCTTCCCAATAACCTCCCCTTGAGAGGTGTCAAAGCGAGGCAAAACAGAGTTTGTCCAATACCCGACAACGGAGTACCTCTGGGTTCTCCTTCACCATATATTCAAGATCGAGGGGAGCAATGGCCTCAAGGCATCTCTAAGAGGATCGACAAACTAGAGGCGAGACGAGCTGCTCTAAAACTGTTGATGGCATGCCGGCCATTTAAACTGTCGACCGCCGAAATAGATACAGAGAGCCCCTGTAGAAGATCTGGCCAACTGATATGTAGTGTTGCCGAGTGATCAATGCATACCTGACCGATGCCACGTGTTCGACGTCTGCTTTCGCTGCGTATGGCAGCGACTTCAACCTCCAGACCTCAAGTGCCCTGACCGATGTGGTTGGATCAAAGCAGCAGATATCCACCACTTTGAAATTTCCAAGGAGGCTATTCCGAAACATGCTTGAACAAGCTGGGGCAAGTTATCCCCGGTGATCTACCGGGCATTGTCATGCTCCAAGCTCCGCGAGGGAAAAGTAGAGGCCCATCTGCTGGGACACTATTGGCGATTGCGGCTTTGACGTGTATCCCGCATGGAAAGTGGTCCTTTTTTAGCGTTTGTGCATGATTCGACCAGGGCGGCTGGCAGTGAGGAGGTGCAAGGCGGTCAAAAGGATCCTGGTTCGAACGGTTGACGAGTCATATTCTGTCCGAGAGCAGCAGGCAGCCCACTGGCCCCGGAGGCTCGAATGGCTTGACGTTGGTGTCTTCCACAGTAGAGGGTTCCGAACGAGCTGGGGGAAGGCCAAAGCGCAGATGAACGAGTCGCACAGCACCCACTCTGTACAACGAGGCATGACCCAAATCTCGGTGCAGATCGAGAAGTAACACTGACTAAAATCTCAGGAAAAGGCAGACAGGGTAACACAAAGCGCCGGCAAGGTCACACCCGCAGACGGGAAAACTGCTGTTCCTGAGTGGTGGAAGACAATAGCAGCCCTGGCAGAGTGAGGGGGGACCCGGGAATGTGGTCAGAAGCGGGAAGCGACATAGATTTACCGCGACTGGGGACTGCATGCAACCCGTCAGCCATCAACGGAGTTTGGACAACAGGGAGGGTTGATGATGGGGGCGAGACAGGGAAAGGATGGTGGAAGGCGTTTCAACATAGTTCACATCACCGTTTGGCGGCCTGGAAGCGAGGAAGGCGAAAGCGAAAGGACCTGCGACCTGCATCCTCCCATTGGGAGAGCAGGCGACTCGGGCGTAGCAGCGATGGGCCTGCATGGGCTCTGTAGGTTTGGTCCTTTTGTAGGGCGCAGACAGACGCGAGAGGGGGGGAAGGGGTAGACCAGATCATGTACGTAATGGCAATAACGTGGGCTCGCATGTAAACAGAGTAATGTGCCTAGCGAGCCAAATACATCAGCAGCATGAATGGCGGAGGACACGGTAGGTGGTATGTACGAAGCAGGAGGAAGCGAAAGGTGGAAAGGCCCTAGTTCATGGTAGTCGGGAATGGTGAGAAATGGGAGACGGCAAGATGGTGTGGTGCGAGATGCGAGATGCGAGATGCGAGATGCGAGATGTGAGGTGGCGCAGTCTGGAGATGGTCCATGGATGGAATGGGATTAGGGACCTCGCCTATGTCGCCAGCCCGCCAGTCGCCAGCTTGCCAGAGTTAAACCTGCCCTGCCCACATCTGCCCAAGCTTGCCCAAGCCTGCCCTAACCCCGGAACCCTGCACCGTGTCCGACTTCTGACCTCACCACTTACTACCAACTATTCGCTTTGCACTCACTTCTCTCGTGTCCCTTGCCTGGTACGGCTTACACGGCTTGCACTATCGGTGAGTGAATGCAACAGCAGCTCTGTTGACATTGAGCTGCCACGGCGAAAGAGCTTCAGTTCTCCAGTCAGTCACAGCCATATCGTCGCCATTATGCTCGGAGACGACAATACCACTTCTGCTACAGATTGAACCACACAAGCACTGGCTTGGAAGAGGTAACGTTCAACTCAATTGACCCATCGTTCTGTACACCACGATTGAGCCGCATAGGACATGAACTCACACTGCAATCAGACCGAGTCTCGAAATGTCGGTCGCTTCTCTTCTACCAAGCAGATCCTCCCGGACGCGTGCGGTCCGATACCTCTCCCCCCTTGCTCACTCTTCCCTTAACTCCAAGTCCCATCATCCATCTAACCTGAACGGCCTCATCCTGTCACCCATCTGCTGCCCCGTCTCTTTTGCTGTTGGAGACTACTCCTCCCTTGCCTGATGCAAGAATACGGCCAATAAGACTTCTTTGCCTTCGAACTGGTCATGTTGGGTTCCCTGTTCAGCTCAATGCTTCCCGACACGATACTGTTTTCAATCCACCACACCCTACCATGTGCGTCCTTCGAGACACTGCAGCCCCCTTGCGTCGCCGTTTCTCCTCCAGTGCGTCACTTACTTCCGTCCTTGGGGCCAGCCCTATCTCCTCAAACCAGAGGTCGTCCTCTACGTGTTCTCGCTCCATCCCTGCCACCGAACCATTCCGGCCAATACGGTAAGCTCGACTTCCGAGACCACCACCCAGATATCACCTACGCGTTGCCTCTCGGTGAGGGCGGAAATTTGATTCGTCCTTGTGTGCCATGTGCATATCACACTGTCCGCAACGAGTCCGTCTGCATCTCAATCAGAGACCCCCCTTCCGGGCCCTGCCAGATCGACAACAATCAGGCTGCGGACCGGGATCAGGGACATCCATGATGGAAATTTCCACTCTCCCTGGCCCTGGTCATTTCGTGCTGCCCTCCTCACTGTTCCACCACGGACCCTGCCTGGGAACTGTACACCCCCTTCACATTGTCTGCCTCCAGACGACCTTTCTCAGAGCGGCCTTGTCTGCTCCACCACGCCGCCACTACACCCGCTCGCTCAAGAGGCCCCAAATGCCCCCAGGACGAAAACGCTGTTGCTATATTTCGGAGAGGGTCCATCGGTTTTGCAAATTCAACCTCGATTTTCTCTCCATTCGCTCCGACTGCGACTCTCCCGGGGGCGCCATGAAGTGAACCGCCTTGCAAGCTAAACTTCATTCCAATAGACCCGAGAACTGCTGTCACTCCGACTGGTGACCTCTTCTCTTGAACCTCCTCGTCTGGTAAGTACCGTTCCCAATCCCCACTGTTCTTTGAAGGTCATTTCCCTACGTTGCGCAGTGATGCCACTTGGGCTTCCCAACAAGCCCGTGTCATCGTTGTCATGGATATATTTGACACTGCTCTTCTGAGCTCTGCAGCATTGGCATTTCGGTCATGCACCACCTCTGCCCGTTCGCTGTCCTCCTTTGATGGGGCGCTGGTGGCACATGAGCCCGTGGATGCAAAGCAGGATATCCTGGTCTGACAGCGTTGGCTGCCACATATTTTTATTATTCGACACCAGCGTCGCTTCTATCTCCAGGGACTTTTTATTTCTCCCTTTCTCTCTTGCTTTCATGGATCCATACGCTTCTTATGTCTGTCCTTCTGACTTTGGGGCCACCAGACTACAGCGCTCGAATCCTCCCATTGAGGAATCAAAGCTTCTTCTTTCACAGCAGCAGCAGCAACAACAACAGTTGCCACCGTTTCGGGAGGTAAGCTCTTGGAGAAATACCTAAAGAAGATCAAGCTGACGCCTATTAGCTCCTAGGGCCCAATATTCAACCGACAGTTGACCCTATAACAGCGAGTGAGTCTACGGCAGTTGCTCAAGCGAACAATATGACAAGGAGAACATTTCAACCGCCGTTAAAAATCGAGCCACCATCGCCTGAACGAGCGCAGAATGGAAACGGGATTGAATCTTTCGACAATGTGTCTGCTCAAAGCGGTGACTCGGCATATACTGCCCAACGTCACCATAGGCAGAACCCGTCCTGGAACTCGACTTCCCAATATACCGAGCTCGTTAGTCCATATGGCTCTCAACAACGTCCGCCGTGCACAATTCAAACCCAATTCCCGCCGTCCAGGGTGAGCCCGTGTTTGCCCTCTATTCGAGATTTCGACCGCTTGAATACATACAACCCTTCGTTCCCCTCAACGGCCTCATATGTATACGGCGCTTCAGGTGGGCCCGCAAACGGGCACGAGAGCTACTCTTTCAAGACGGAGACGTCTTCTTATTATGACCCACCCCACCGATATGGACAGAGTTATCCACAGACAAACAGGCCGAATGCTCCACAGATGGACTATTCAAGGTATCCGCCCTCGCTCTACGAGTACCGTGGCGGTGTTACCTACCCATCACCCTATGCGGGCGATTATCTCCCGTCGCCGACGGGCTCACATCATCCCGTCTCCCCAACCGTGTCAAGTGAGGGATGCGGTCTTCCCGGGAGGAGGAGGAGGGGCAATTTGCCCAAACCTATTACGGACTATTTGCGGCAGTGGTTCCTGGCGCACCTGGACCATCCGTACCCGACGGAGGAGGATAAGCAACAATTTGCTCAGACGACTGGTCTCACCCTTGCCCAGGTATTACTTTCCTTTGCTGTGAAGGGGCGCGGGCTAATCCTTACCTTCTGTGTAGATCAGCAACTGGTTTATTAATGCCAGAAGACGCCAGCTCCCTGCGCTGCGGCACCAGGTTCGAGAGAGAGCCTCACAAACGTCGACAGCTGAATATGAGTCAGAGCAGGTGCGACGTTAGCTCCAACTGGATGATGCCAGCCCTAAGACTCGTCAGAGTTATGTGGGATGCGAAGGTGAAAACGGGTGGCTGGGATTGGTCTACGGAATGATGCCACCTGAGGCACTGAAAAGCATGGCTTTGTCGTTTTCTGCATCTCGGGCACTCTACCCCAGTCGGAGCGGTCTTTTTGGAATGTCGGGTAACTTTGAAGGGTTATTGGTAGTCTGCGGTGCGGTGATCTTTCAGCGGCAGGACACGGTCCCCGTCTATGTGAAGAACGACTCGACACCCATGCAGGAGCCGGGTGGATGGCAGGCGGTATTAATGGGACGGGATCACTGATTGTATGCAAGGGATTCTTTCGGAATTGATATGCAATTATCTCGTCTGTCTCAAAGACCCGCGCTCTAGATCATAAACGGTGGAAAACTGTCTGGATGCGGCATCTGCGATCCACGGAGAGGCTTCCCCAAAAACAAAAGGCATCGTAGCAGCAGCAGTCCCGCCAGATTGGTTACCGCGATGACGCCGGCAGTACATGGCACAGCGACGACGACAACACAAACAACAATTCTAGCACAAGCAAATGTCGGACTAACACCAGCGGGGCGACGTTCATTGAGTCCAAAGACAGAGAAAGATGCCCCTAGGTTAAAAAGGGTGCATGGCTAGCTCTAGATTTGCTGCGTATAGATAGACGTCCGGAGCATGGAGGATGGAGTACTCTGTACACTACCACCACACTTGTGTCTCGCAATGGGCGCGCAGAAAAGGAAAAGGAATTTTTAGAAATTGAGACGTTGCTTAACGGCGGATGTGCGCCCACACACAGCAGCAGCGGTATTGTTATTAGTGAGTGCCGCTCCGTCTATTGCCCAAGAAAGGAGGTCAGTGCTGGGAACGGCGTGTCCCAGTGATCCGACCCAACCGCTTTGCTTTCGGAGAAGGCTGCCAATCCAGGGGGCACGGGGTTCTTGTTGGGTCTCCGGCAAGCCGGACGGTCACTAGCACCAACGGACAGTGCTAACGGCGAAGGTTGAGGGGACACTTACGCTCTGGCACGCTGCGTTGCGGACGTACTGTACTTGTAGGCAAGAAGAGGCATCCTTCCCCGTTGCCCCCGTGTCGCGCAGAATGAATGCATGGGTCGCTTTCATGCCCACGTGTTCGTATGATGAGGATCGGGGAATCGTCGGCATAAGGCTGGTGGGCGTCCTCGGTATTTGCACATGCTGTCCTTGGTATGCAGCAGGAAACAGGCGGACCTGGGCATCGCCAGAACTCCTCCCCAATCCTCCGTCATGGATTCAATTCGCTAACAATGTTTGACTCAGCCATGACACGGATCCCGGCATACGAGACTGCAATGAATAACACTTGGCAGCCTTGTCAACCGCCCGTGATTGGGATGGTAACAAGTATTTTGACCCAGCCGGGAGCTGAAACAACTGCGCGAATTATCCGATGGCCAGTCCAGGCAGATAAGATTAGATGATGTGGGAGCCATCAATTGAGTGGATGAGGTGCCAGTGCTCCGAGCCGAGAGTAAAGGTTGTCGTGGACCAAGGCGGGGAGCAAGGGGATCGCCATTCTAGCGCTGATGGGATCAGAAATTGGGCATCAAGAGGCCGTAATCGGAGCTGATGGAGTTGCGCCCAAGCCAAAGGACTCGAGGGAAGGTGGAGGGATGATACATTAGAACCCCAATAGATTTCCTGGATAGGTCCATCTTTTTACCTGGGCAGACCCTCCAATGACAAGGCCAGGCTCTTTTCATGTGCACTCCCGTACCTCGTATATGCCATTCGGTGGGCACCGGAGAGGGATAACCGCAGGTGGAAGGGAGGAGTCTCGAAAGAAAAAAAGATTGCGTGCACGTACTTGGATGTACTGTACTGGGAACAAGATGGATCTCGACTCGCTTGACAGCCAAGGAACCAACAATCAAACACGCGGAAATTGATCATATCATATCGTATCCATCAATCTCCTGTCAGAGGTGGCATGGCATGTGGGACGGCATCAAAAATCGGACCCTTGTTGGGAAAGTCCACTGATGGCGAGCAGTCTCCAGTCGGCCGGCGGTACGAAGTACGGCGCGAGAGGGACTCGAGGGTCGTGCAGCCGGGAATCGGCGCGGGGCACGGCCATGCACGCTTCAAGGGGCGAGTCGAGATCGGCTTTGTCTTTTTGCCTGTCCGCGGGAATGGTCACCAAGCCGGTGGTGGTAGGAGTGGTCGGAGTGGTCGGAGTGGTATGACAAGTCTCGCCCGGGCAGCCCCTTGCTGGCGAAAGAATTCCGGGAGAGAATGAGGTGGCAATGCAGACCCAACGGAGGATGTCCAGGGGAGTCGTGGTGTGAGCTGGTCTCTCTATGATTTGCACAGAGACGGGAAAAAGAAGAAAGGAAAGAGAGTCAAGGCGGAAGAGGCCAGGGAGCCGGATAACAAACATACGTAGGACTTGGCCATTACGAGGTAAAGAGAGACTGGAGACGTGCTTGACGGCCAGAAGCAAGTAAAAGGCACGAAACCACCATCCTGCCTCTCATCGAAAAAGATCCTCCGATTTCTATCCCACACCACCTTCATTTTCCCTTCAAAACTCCTCCCACCGCATTCCTCTGCTGCTGCTTCTCTCTCCTCTACCAACCCTCGACACAGTCGTTGCATGCACAGGCTTGCAATGTCCAACCCCAACAGTCCTGACCGCTGATTGATCGTATCTTGCCTGCCGACAAGTCCTGGAGCCACGCTGTCTGGACGCCGTCTAAGTCGAGGGCTGCTCCAGGCCTGCGCCGCCGCTCCGAGGCTTCATTCCGCACCTTACATCATCTCCTCATCTGCCCGTGAGTCCTCAGCCCACCAGCCCACACAACCCGCTTTCAACCGTCCTCAGCAATGCCATAATGCTGTCAAATCCACCCTCGTCCATTGCCCTTCACCGCGCCCGTTATTATATACGGGAGCTGAGTGGTTTTGTCCTGCATGCTGAAAAGTCTCTCCAACTTTACTAACCAGTCGCCCTATCCAGGTCTCCTTCACACTATTCCTTGCCGTCCCAAGATGTCAACCACCATGGCCTCGGGGCATGCAGTGCCTCTCACGGCCCATTCACACCCTAATGATCCTGTCCCTGAAGAGCCTGTGGCCACGCGAAAACTCTCAATCTCCGCCTCGCAACTTTCACACTCTCTCACCTCGAACGGTCCCTCCAGTTCATACTCCGACAGCGCCTCGAGCGCAGACACGGCTCCCACAACCCCAACAACCGACAACCTCTCAGATGTCTCCCTCGATGAACTCCATGGCCAACCACCCCAGAGTCCACAGGGCAAGAAGAGGCGGGCTTCAACGTTGTTGGTCTCACAGGACTCGGAAGATGCGAGGCGATTTCTGGGCGAGCGGGGTGCTTCAACCGCCATGATCCAGAAGGCCTGCTGTGGTGGAGGTTGCTGCATGCTTCAAGAGTTGAAAACAAGGAGACCTCACCCGGGCCAAACCCCTCTCAAGGTCCCTCAGAACGCGGCCTACCAAAGCTTAAGGATCAACCTGGGCCAGCTGTGTTTGGACAGTGAGCTCTCAGGCATTGTTGAGTTGCCTCCCAAGACGGCTTCCTTCGAGCCGTTGTCGACTTCGCCTTCGCGGACCTGCGCAGAGCCTCGAAGACATCAGAAGCCCGACGTTCTGAAGCATCCGCCCACTTTTGTCACCCCGCACCCACCTTACGAAGTATTCTCAGCACCGCTGTTTCATGCTCGCGAGCTGACAAAACCGGGGGCGGAGAAAAGGACATATCACTTCGACATTGACGTGACTGATTATCCCAAGGAAGGGGGAGACGTCGATTTCGTCGTGGGAGGTGCCATCGGCGTATGCGTCCCCAACCCGCCTGACATGGTCGACCGCATCTTTGATTTGTTGGGCGTCCCGAGTTTTGTGCGAGACAAGCCGATATTGCTGAAGACGACTGCCGGAAGGTGGCCCACGATCTGGGGAGAAGAGGAGGCCCGAGAATTGGTCACCACAAGACGAGAGCTGCTGACATGGTGCTCGGACATTCAGAGCTACCCGCCCACCAAACATCTCTTCCGACTCTTGGCCGAGCACGCAGAAGACAAAAACGAAAAGGCCATCTTGATGTTCTTGTCTTCCGCCCAAGGTCAGGCCGCATTCTGCGACCTCCGAACCGGCCCCTACATCACCCTTCCACAACTTCTCAGTGCTTTCCCCTCCTCCAGGCCTCCTCTCGACCATCTCCTTTCCGTCCTCAATCAACTCATGCCCCGATTCTACTCACTCTCCCAGGACCCCACCATCTCCTGCCAGCGAGACGGTACCAAATGTCGACGTTTGATTGAAATTGCGGTGACGGTCCACGAGGCGGATGACTACGCCACCGGAAAGCGAACCGGTGTGGGATCGGGATTTTTGGAGAGACTGGCAAAGCAGGTCATCCAGGCGGAGCAGGAAGGGAAGAACCCCCGAGACCTAGATTTGAGGATTCCCATGTTCCGCGGTCTCATGGCCAACCCCTTGGCCCGCGAATTCGTCACCGATGGACCCATGCTTCTCATCGGCGCCGGGGTTGGTATTGCTCCCTTCCGAGGTTTTGTCCATCGTCGACTGAAGTCGGCCAACTGCGCGAACAAAGTCTGGGTGCTGCAAGGAGTGCGGGACAGTCTTGTGGATGAGCTCTACTCGGGTGACTGGGGCGTGCACGAGGACAAAGTGAAAAAAGTTGTTCAATCTCGACGAGGAAATGGACGTTACGTTCAAGAAGAAGTCCGCGCCCAAGCTGACTTGGTCTGGTTCATTATCAATGCTGTCGATGGAAGGATCTTTGTCTGTGGAAGCTCAAAAGGCATGGGTGAAGGTGTGGAGGCCGCGCTGGTGGATGTGGCCATGGCCAAGGGCAAATTGAATCGTGAGGAGGCCAAGAGCTTCTGGGACGAGAAGAAGAGTTCAGGTCAGTATATTGCAGAGACCTGGTGACCGGCACCGGAGGCCTCGGTCTGCGAAGGACATCTGCATTGGAGATATGCGGTCCACCAACGATTGGGTGCGAGTCAACAGCATCGAGGGGGGGGGGACCCAAAAAAAACGAGACACCTGGTCCTGGAAACTTTCGGCGTCCCTCTTTCGGAAACAACAGGAATGACGACGTTGGCCATGGTGTTTTTCGCTTCTTGTTCAACCAACTATAAAGAACCACGGCGCATAGCGACGGGCGTTTTCTGGCTGCGGTGAGGCACGGAGCACACAAAAGGGCGAATTTCCATCTGGGCATGACGACGTGGACAATTGGGGCTTTTCAAGGCTACGCGGAAAGAAGATCATCGGGCTAGATCTATGGCAGCGCTCTCTTCGTATGCTTTATGCGAATCGCGCAGTCATTGAGGGAGGGAGTGTTGGCTTTGTCCGAAGCGGCATGCGACACCGGCATTGTGTTCTTTGTTCTGCTGGATATACATATTGCCTTAGTTATGTTCATGATACATGCATATGCTGAGTATATATATACGCTGAGACGTAGGATGAACTACCAAGTATGAATACGCAATGCGAATACGAATAGAGGTACCTATATGAGCAAGATATCCCGTGTCTCCCAGTGTAGTCCTCGCGAACGAGAAACTTCTTTGCGCCTGGAGGTTCTGACATACTGAAGCACCCCGCTTGAATGCCCAACATCGGCCCAGCCTCACCCTTACGGGAGTACCTCGTACGTGATCACGAGCCTCGGCGAGGTGCATGGTCAGTCTCTGTCTTCTGGCGCCAAGTCTGCAAGGAAACGACAAGCCATAGCGATTCTCCGGCCCCCAACACTTCTTACTTGTGATACCGGGGACTGCGACTCGAGGGCGATGGTAAGGCTGGAATCCTCCGGGCTCACTCCCAGAGCCTAAATGCGGTACCAATCGAGGTCAGAATTGTTAGGATGGGCAACTTAGCGGGGACCCAGCGAGCCAGAAATACCGAGCTCGCTCTTGCTCGCACTTCGGTACTATGATCTAATAAGGTTGGTCGAATTGAAAAGGTTCGTTCCTCGGTAGAGGGTAGGTCTTCCGTATTTACTAGTTTTGTTCCTTAGTATTTCTAGAGTTCATTGCCCGTCACTATTTCTTTTCCTCCAAGGGGCGCGAGCGTCGGAAGACAGCCTTCAAGACGCGTGTGGTGCGGTTCGCATTGTACTGCGTGACAGCTCTCTGGAGGAGCCGCAGGATACGCCCATGCAACTGGGCCCTGGCCTCTATCATCCAGGAGGTGCTGTAGAGTTGGCACTCTACGTAAATGCGCAGGAGAACGTTGCTAATCCGGACGAGTCCACACTCCCTGAAATCGATTATATACTTTTCTCCCATCCTTGCACAGAGATAGATGGCAAAGGCAAAATTTGATAGCTCCTCAAGCAAGCCCGGCATGCAGAGGATTCGCAGTGGCGAGAATATCCAGCACGGCCCCATACCGAGCCAGGTGGGCCGCAAAGGCGTCAATCCACCTCTGAGCTCTGGCATGATGCTCCGATCGACCCTCGTAGGCATCCCGCGTCCAGCTCGCCACACACAATCCATCTGTCAATAGCGAACGATCGCTACGAGACCCGGTGTAACTCCACCGATGCCCTAAAAGAGAAGAAAGTGTCGATGCTCCACGATCAGCTCAAGCGCAAAGCTTTTGACATGGCACGGCGCCGCTTCAACGGCGGGCAAATTCGCAACGGTCTCTGGACCGCGACTCAAGCGGCGAAATACAGGAACGAACCGCTGGGATATCGTCACATTGAACAGGCCATGGATGTATCGCAGGGTACTGAAGATTACCTGCAAAAAAGACTCATGGGTATACAGACGAGGAGAATGCCCACGTCCACGGTGTCAGGGCTTTTGATCAGGAAGTCGACGTCGCTTGAGTCTTGAGTGAGACGGACCGACTCGACCGAGTCCCGCTGTATGTAAGGCGAAGGTGTCATCATTATGCCCCACGCCTTGGACAATCAACCACTGCAAGCGGGCAAGAATGGTCACCAGAGGTAGGTCAAATGTCCGAAAACCGCTACGACGGGGAACCGTGGAAGTCGTAGACACTGTTGTCTCAGCACAGCGGTCAAGGGGCGCCATCCCCATCGAGATCAGACGAACAGATCGAGGCCAGGAGGGAACAAAGCGACGCCGAAAGAGAGAAAATATATCGAGACGGCTGGTGTCGAGCGGCTCGAGGATTTCCACGCTGGAGACGATGGGGCGCCAATCTGTTTACGGAGTACGGAGTACATTAGGGACATAATACAGCCGCCAGAGCAGGGACGAGGGCTGCACGAGGCCGGGGAGATCAAGGGAGGATGTAACGTAATCTAGCTCCTGTCGCCTGGCTACGTACTCGGAGTCCACGAAACTGACTCCAGACGAATGTAACTTGGCTTGCATTCCCCCAAATTTCCTTCCCCCCCCTTCCTTTCAGAAATGTAGGAATAGGTTGTTTCAAAAAGTATGCAGATGATGATGAAGATGCTGAGGAGCCTAGCGAAAACCCCCTAGGGGTCCAAGGCTGTGGTGCGTGACATTGCTGGACATGATGGCGATGCTGGATTTCATGGCTCCCATTTTAGTTAGATAAATGATTGTTGACAGTTCTTGATATGCTTTGTCTTGTTTTTCCGTCTTGCGGTTCGTGGGAACGTCGTACCGTAGCTCTTTCTGAAATGCACTCGGAACTCGCGCTGTTGCGTTTGGCTTGACTCCCTGCGGTTGATATAATTCATAGGCAGTTCGAGTCGGGGACTTGCTCCCAGTTCTTCCTTGTTGGACGTCCAAGACACGTAGGACTCAGCGGGCTCCTCTGTTTCATGCCCGTGGGAGGTCCCAATCTATTTGCAACGGGACTTCTTCAACTGTCAAGAAGAGTTGATTCCATTTAGCCGCAAGGGCGTGCTTTGCGACAACGTGCATGCAAGTCGGGTCCTCAAGGCTTTTTCATGACGCGTTGTCTCTTTGGAGGAAGACGTTGCTGGGTCGGTGTAAAAAGCCGGAAGAAAGGTTGTCGCATGGGCGCGCAGAGGCCGAGAGTTGTTTGTTGTAGTCGGCAAAGCGTTGCCGTGCTCAGAAGAGTCCTGGGCAGGTCCAAGAGTTGTTTGATTGAACCTGTTCCCATGCTATACTGTACTGTGTTGTGCTGTGTGGATGAAGGGTCTCCTCCGCGCCCTGCAGTGGTCGATCGGCCACGGAGAAATTCGAAGATCCACAGGTGTTTGTTTCCCTTCACCCTCTTGATCCTCGAAGGACGTCCAAATACAAATGTGCCAAATCCCAGTCCGGTGAGGCGTCCTTGGTGTCGTTATCTATCGCATGAGCCTTCGTGCGTCGAATCAAAGACCGAGTAGTTTCGAGGCTGTGGATCGAGGGTACTCCCCTGCCATCGGTGACCGAGTCGAGCAACCCACGTAACAGGGTCTCGTCTTCTTCGCTCACAGCCTTCCCATCAACGCCTTTTGGAGCATCATCTGGACTCTGATTGTGCGCTGTCTCAGGAGGGGACCCGATGAAGGAGACCTCCACAACCATGCCTCTAAGGTTGGAGCCAGCTTGGTTCGGTCGAGAGGGAGTCTTTAGATCTCCGATACGGATGGTCCACTCGCCATTGTCTAGGGACAGTGCGGTACCGTTGTCTATGACCAGGGACTGCCGGTGCGCCCATTGCGGTTGGAGTTTTGTTCCGATGAGTTGGGTGAATGGGTCTGCGGAGCTGGAAGGGATAGTGATGGTGGTAAGTGAGGGGGACGCCAAGTGTTCAGCTGCCTGAGATTCCTCTTTCGGGGATGAGATGGCGACATATGTCTTGGAAGGCGTGTGTGATAGAGTCAGAATACTAGTCGACTTGCGTTGGGATATGTCAGAGTTGGGGAGCAGATGGGAGGTGTCGAGGAAGTGCCGGTGGTCAAGGTGGAAGGGTGGAAGAGGTTCGGCGGGAAATGAGCGCGAGATGTGAGAGATGAGAGCCGAAGATGGCGAAGACTGGCCAGGAGCTATGGGGAGAATGAACACTCCTGTCAATGCCATGTTGGGAGCAGACGGGACTTTGCAAACCGAAAATCGACGGAACTTGGTCCGGGGAATGAGTTCTGTGCCTGCGGGCAGGCTGTGGGCAAGCGGCGGGGCACCTCATAGTCAGGGGCTTAAGCTTAAAACCTAATGCGATCTTAACGACAACCCTTAGTCTCATGCACCGTGTCCTTTGCCGCGACCCCGTACAGGAATACAAGGCCCCCCCCCCTGAAACTCCAGATTTGATTTGGGGCTGTTTCTATTTGAGGATCTCAATCACTCTCCTTATCTGACAGACGACGTATTTGCCCAGATGGAGATCGTCAATCACTGCTCAGTAGGACGAGCACCAGCATGATACTGATACGGCGACTCTGGCTGTTGCCAGCGTTCTTTCTGGCCTGTCTCGTCTATTATATTTACCTCTCCCCTAGCGATCCCACCGCAGTCCCCTTTCCTCCGTCAAATCACAAAACCAACTTACACTGGACCAAACGCCCTGAGCGATATCCAGTCGCAGGCTATCGGGAATTCCCCATAGGCCCTCTCGAGCAAATTCCCAAGATCCAGTTCGACTTCGAATCACATCCTGAACCCGCGGCTGCTAAGACTACTCGAGAAACAAGAAGAGCGGCGGTCAAAGAAGCATTTGTTCATGCCTGGAATGGATACAAGAAACATGCCTGGGGTCAAGATGAAGTTGCTCCACTCAGTGGTGCATCCCGCTCAAGTTTTGGTGGATGGGGGGCTACTCTCGTTGACACGATGGATACGCTCCTCATCATGGGTTTGAAGGATGAGTTTGACCTCTGTGTCGAGCAAGTCAAACGCATCGATTTCACTACCAACGATGCCGACACGCTGAATGTCTTTGAAACTACAATACGTTACCTCGGTGGTCTTCTGGCCGCCTATGACCTCACGGACGGAAAGTACAGGATCCTCCTCGACAAAGCTAGGGAGTTGGGCGAGATTCTCTACTCGGCCTTTGATACGCCCCACCATCTGCCTATGACGCGGTGGAACTGGAAGAAAACGGCCCTAGGCGGCGAGATTGAGCCTGACACCAACACACTGCTCGCAGAAATTGGCAGCTTGACTGTCGAATTCACCCGACTGAGCCAACTCACCGCCGACTTTAGATACTTTGATGCTGTCCAAAGGATCGCAGAGGAGATGGAATGGGCCCAGAACACCACCCGCATCCCCGGTTTGTGGCCCACCATTGTGAATGCCAAGGAGATATCGTGGGACTACAACCATTTCACGATGGGCGGCATGGCCGACTCGACTTATGAATATCTGCCGAAGCAGTATCTGATGTTGGGAGGCCGAGACCAGAAATACAAGCACATGTATGAAGAGGCCATTGATACAGCAAAGAGGCATCTTTTCTTCCGCCCTTTGGTGCCAGGGGGTGAGAATCTCCTTTTCAGCGGCAACGCGGCCCTGACTGCTCTGGAGACGATTCCCATCGCCAATATTGAGCCGCAGGGCCAACACCTAGCTTGCTTCGTCAGCGGCATGGTCGGGATTGGCGCCAAAATCTTCTCTCGACCTGACGAACTGGATGTTGCCCGTCGACTAATCGACGGCTGCGTGTGGGCTTACAACGCAATGCCATCGGGATTAATGCCCGAAACCTTCCACATGATAGCATGCCAAATTAGCACGATTGACCCACCGCCAGGAAAATGCGACTGGACGGAAGAGAAGTGGTATGAAGGCATATCCAGAAAACATGGCGCGACCCAGGAAACAGCATCCATGAGCTCCGTTGAGCGCGGGAAGAGACTTGCCGAGCAACGTCGTCTTGTTCCCGGGTTCACAGACCATGGTGATAACAGATACATCCTCCGTCCGGAAGCCATCGAGTCCGTGTTTATCATGTACCGCATTACGGGAGACATACGATACCAAGATATCGCGTGGAAAATGTTCCAATCCATCGAGAAAGCTACGAGAACGCCCATTGCGCACGCCGCCATCCATGATGTGAGGGTTGCCGAGCCAGTGCAAAGCGACCGCATGGAAAGCTTTTGGCTTGCCGAGACGCTGAAGTACTTTTACTTGGTGTTTAGCGAGCCGACGTTGGTGAGCTTGGACGACTGGGTTCTGAATACGGAGGCGCATCCTTTAAAGAGGCCGACTAAGTGAGGCCTGCTTGATCACTTGGATAGCTCCAAGACAATGGTCGGTCTCCGCACGATCCGTGGTCGAAAGACCTTGAATCTCGAGGATGGAACGTACCCGTTTTGGAAAACATGCAGGAAGATCTCTCTCAGTCTGCGCATGTCCACGCTTAGGCAATTCAAGCTGCTTCGGCGACTAGGAGACGGTCATTCCGACTTCGCCATGTATTCTCTAGTCACCTTCGAGCTCCGAATTACTTTTCCATACGGGCGGCAACGTCCTTTGAGTATTGTCCCGGAATGAAATCAAACCCACGGGCCTGTCGCTGGGGGACATAGCCCGCCGCAGTATTAGACAGAATGCCAGACATCCAGCGAACACTGCTTGAAGCAGCGGACCGCCGAGGCAGCTTCACTCCTGGTAACATATATTTGGTCGGTTGGCCAGGATTTGTTCATAACAATCGTGAAGCTGCAAGGTGGATGAAAGATCGCTGGACTCTAGGCTGGAAAAGCAAAATGTGGCTGAGAACAGGAGGCTTCTTCCACACACTTGCGTTCCTGGATCGGAAAGTCTCTTGATTGGTACAACACATTTTCCGCGCCCACATATACACAGAGGGGGAGAGAGCGGCTTCTTCTGCATGATTAGAGAGCAATAGAAGAGATACCCACTCAGTTTTCTCGCTCTTTTTTTTCCTCTCTTCTTCGCTCTCTCTGCTTGGCCTACAATAGAAGTGGTTGTCTCGAAGGAAGCTGTACATACGCACACTTAGCGAAGGAATATCACACATTGACCTGAGTGCCTCGAAATTAAAGCTCAGTTCCTCCCTCTCCGAGATATAAATCTCTCCCACACACACTCTCTCTCGCTCTGTGCGTGCTCTGCCATCCCATTGAAATACCGCCTCCTAGCAAGAAACAATGATACGGAGTAATGATACATATGTTTCATTCGTTTTTCCGCCTCCCGCCCCCAAAGGCGCGCTCGTTCAAGGACACAAAGTGGACCGCAGAAGCCATATCTGTGTCCCACTCGCAGTGTTTCTCTCCATCATCACCACCACCAACGCCACCACCACCACCATCATCATCATTATCATCGGGACCTCGATAGCCAGCTTTCTTCAAGACTACTATACTCTGCGGCAGCACAACTCTCCAGTTCAACCGTTCGCAGTACTGAGTCTCGCGACAACGCTCAAGGGGAACATTCTAAATCCCTGGCACTTCATGTTCACCGCCCCTAGCGGCCTCTTGCCGTAACAGTTCATCCACGTCCTCGTCTAGATTCTTCAAGAGGTCGTCGCCCCGAAAATTTGCCTGGTGTCCTCCCGCCACTCCGGGCCTTTGATCTTGGCCTTGATCCTGACTTTGGCTCTGTGCTTGGCCGAATCCTTCCATGCCCATCTCGCCCAGATCAGGAACTTGCTCGTCCTCACCGTGAGATATCTTCCGTCTCTTGGCGCCGAACCCATTGACGCCTTGTCCACCACTCGCAGAGCGGACGCGAGGCATTGCAGGTGCGTTTACATGGCCACTCGCGCTGGAGGTGCTGCTGGGTAGAAATGCCGTATAGTCTGGTGTTGGTGTTGCACCAATGCTGGAGAAGTCCGCCAGGGCAGCTGCGACGGCGGGGTTGTTGGGTCGAAAGCTCGCCCGGCCCGGGGAAGCAGCGGGAACAGGGGCGGGAGCTGATTGATCCCACTGTGCGTTGTTGGATTGGGGTTGATCGAACATGCCTCGGGTCACAAAGTCGCCCTCGTCATCGGTAAGTTCTTCGATCTCAGGACGTCCGGAGAGGAAATGGCTAGCTGAGGGTTCACTACTGAGGTTGTTTGCGCCGATGTCGTTGCCTGGAATGTCGCCGCCGCTGCTCGAAACACCCGCCGGATTAGTGACACCGGAATGTTCGGATGAGGAAGCTGTCTCAGCGGACGACAGACCACGAATAATGGCATCTTCGACCTCTCGCTTCTTTGATTCGGTGCTAGCCCTCCGACTCTCCAGCGTCAAGTACGTCTCTTCATCCTTCGTCAGCGCTGTTTTGTTAATCTCCAAGATCCGCTCAAGATCCGCAATTAGCGCCTTTCTAGCCTGGATACTGGCTGACACGGACGATTCAGCCGCAGCAAGGGATTTGATCAGGCTCGACAATCGCGCGGCGTGGACGGGCGGACTGGGCAACACCGCCTCTGGATCGTTGAGCTTGGCGTACTCGTTCTGTGCGTTGTCGATGGCAGGTCTGGCGGAAATAGTTTCCTTGGTCACGGCGATCTGTAACGGCGCTAGGGTCTCCAATTCCTTTGGCATTGCGCCTGAGGATGAAGAGGAACCGAACAGTGAGTTTCCCATGAGGGTCTTCTTCCCTCCCGATCCCTTCGACTTGTCGATCTCGTCAATTCGCGCATCGATGGCATCCAAGATCGGAACCTCAAAAACATTCCGCGTTCGCCATACCTCGACAACTCGCCGGATTTTGCTTTGGATCTCCGGTGGCGAGGAGCGATAGGCGGTCTGGATGGCCTCAGCCATCAAGGGAGAAAACGCGTCCGGGAATTCGGTGCGCTTCCGGGCTCGGGCATTTTGGACAATGTCGTTGACCAAGTAGATGAAGTTGAGGCGTTTTGGTGGCGGTGAATCGCGGAGACGGGTGAGCCAGTAGTTTGCGATGCGATCCGCATGTCTCCTGGAGAACAACGGGTTAGTTGTGGTTGATATTGGCGAAATGGTTTTCCATAGCAAGAGGTATGCCAGCTCGGGAAGGGACGTACTTATGGAACATGATCCATTGTGAAACCGAGACGATACTATCTTGCGTCTCGTTGAGGGTCGAGAGCTTAGCCTTGAGAGCTTCGTCGGTGTACGACATGTTGGTCCGTGGTACCTCCTTTTACACCATGCGGCACCCGGGGACGTGGATGTAAGATGGAGAGCGCGCAGCCGTTCCTTTGAGGTCCTTGTCTTCTACGCGTTGGATGAAGCAAGGCCCAGGCAGAAGTGAACGGGGGATTCACGATCGGGATGGGTTATGCTACGAGCTATGGCAGGCTGTGTGAGAGAGGAGAGAGGGAGATTGCTCTGCAACGGAGTGGCAACGATCTCGTCGTAGCCGCCCAAATCCGATCCAGTCCTACTGGTAAAGACCTTCAAGGCGCGAATTGTGGAATTATCTGTGGCTGATGATGATATTAGATGGGTTGAGAGGACAAAGTTGAGCTCCAAAGTCGATGGAGTTTGTTGTTATTTTGTACAAATTGCGGTTCAAATGACGGCCCCCAACACGTGACACGCAGTTGTAATGCTTGATGGAGCTGGATGACAGGAGCAATTACAAGACTACAGATGCAGAGGACATGTATGGTTACTTATCGTCGCTGACCCAGTCTATCTAATCCTTCTATATATTGCGAGATGTCGCTGCTAGCCACTCCGAGTGCCACTGAGCCATCAAGGCCTGGCTCCAGTAATACTTCCTTAGAGAACCCATGGTCGTATTCCAACTCTTCGTCTGCGGACATAGCATAAACAATAGCGCCATGAGCTCCTTTCTCTCTTCTTCACTCAGCTTGCTTTCATCCGTGGCCGTCACAATAACCATTGTTGCCCATATCATAAAGTCGCTGTCCACGTCCGTCCCCAGCTCGGCCATATTCTGGGTCACTTCTCGCAAGCGGTCTCGAAATACCTGACCTATTCGCCCATACATTCTTCGTGGTGCCACGGAGTCGGGAGTCGTCACAAGCCAGGACCGTTCGAAAATGAGGACCAGAAGGCAGACTTGTCGCTCCAATTTTGGTACACTTCCCGTGGCCACGACGCGCATCAATTCGAATTGCTCACTCCGGCCCCAGACGTGTGGGAGCGCTTCGGGACGCTCTCCGGTCATCCTTAAAGCGACTTGGTGAAGGAGCTTAATTGTCTGGATAGAAATCTTGCAGGAAACTGCCAGTTCACGAAAGCCATCCGGCAGATTATCCGTCAGGTTAGAAAGCTCGCGAGGAAAAGATTGTTTGGGATATTGCAGAACCAATTCCGGAGTGATGGGCTTTAGTTTGGTTGTCTGTCGTCTTTTTATGGCCATATCACACAGAAACTCGGTTCTTCATGTTGCTTGGGTTAGCGGGATTCATTCCCTCGCCTGGGGGGACCCTTACGACGTTACCGTAAACTTCGTCATTGTATCGAAATTGCCTGTCTCCAATCCACCACGCATGGCAATGACTTGCCTTAGGCCAGCTCGATGCATCTCCACGTAATCATCCTCAGCCATATGAAACTGAAGAGAAAGGTCAGCTTTGAAGCGTCCTCGCACAGAAAGGACTTACATCCGAACCGAGCAAAGTGGTGATAGCATGCAAAGTAACGTCATCGGCGCACAGCCGAGGATCGGATATCCTTTGGCGTAGTTTCGTCAAAATGCTTGCTCGATACTGAAGACGAATCCGGCGCAGTCCAGGAAATGGCTTGTAGGAAGGGGGTAATTGACAGAGAGTATATAATACAAGGCATTCAAAGAGGAGTTCAGATTGGAGAGAGACGGCAAATCGATATGTCATCAACCAGTTGTCTCCATTTGCTTCAGTGAAGAGTTCTCTGCTTTTGACCGCAACATCTTGTACATCTATGAAAATTAGTCTTCTTCTTCAATCCGCCCTTAGGGGCGCTCTTGGCGATATCGACGTACATTGATCGACAGCCCACTTCACCAAATAGGTGGCTTCGATGGGGTACGATCCGAAGGGATCCTCACGCACTCCCCCCAGATTGTTGAATAATGGAGCAACCAGGTCGCCGGCGTCCGCCTGCGGATCCGTGCGTGTTTGTGGTCTTTTATGTTCAAATCTGGGCTTGCGCCGTTGCGTATAACTGAGAGCACGCCAGACGAGTGGCTCGAATGAGCGGGTTGTGGAAGCCCGCGTCTTGCCCTCGGGCTTTTTCTTGCGCGTCTTCGTTTGTTGTCGACGTGCTGCAAAGGACGAAACCTGCTGTTGCTTGTCCGGGTCCCTCAGTTGGGCAGGATGAGTGTAACTGACAAACATGACTTTTGGAATAGCCGCTCGGGTGTCGCATATTATCCTATCATACACACAATCAGCGAGGCTATCATCTTTATATAGTATAGTAATGTCTGGAGCAGCTGTGTATCATGGGCCACTCAAAGATGTCGTTGCTGGTGAAACTCCCCTTGGCGGGCGAGGCGCGTCTTGCTTAGTGGGATCCTGCATAATAACAACAGCAAATATAGACATGGTAACGATTCCGCGGAGTGAACCGAGGCGATGAAAGTCGCGTTCTTGCGGTAAACGAATCCTGATGGACTTGCCGGATCATCCTGAAGTCGAGTATTCAAGAAACCTGACCAATGGAGGATACCGTCTTCACAGCAACTCCAGAAACAGGGGCGAAGACGTACCAGACTGGTGGAGGAGTGTCTGAACAAGGTATTGGTGCCTTAGGCTGACTTGCATCCAAAGCCAAACGGCCCCTTCTGTGGCTGTGTCGGTCAATATGTGAGGTGCAGAAAGCAGAGAAAGGTATCGAACCCAAGCCCTGATGACAGTCCAATTAGCGATGGCGGCTCGACATGTCGGAGAGTAAGCAGACACAATGTCAATGTCGCATGCTCGTATGGGCTTGAAGTAAGGGCGACAAGGCACCAATTAAGCTATGAATTCAAAGACATGCTCGCCTTGGGTTCGTTCCCAACTGCAGGGAGATGAAGAGACGAGGCACGACTCCGGGGAACAAGGGAGACAACAATCCCGATCTCGTGGAAAGGGTGTCATTCCCGAATACATCGACGTACATACTGCCGTTGGTTTGTAGTTGCGGAAGGAGAGTCCCAGCAAGTCCCAGCTTGGCCATATTCTGTCAGACAAGCCAATAGCTCTTATTTTGCCCCAGTCTTTTGGCTACTCTTCCACTGCGCCGGCCTTGTCAGACAGGCGGATTTCCCACCACACCAATTGTCTCCCCCTGCGACTTTCCATTGCAAACCAAGCATCTTACAAAAAGTGCCAACTTGACCACCCAACTGCACTGCCATTTCCTACGGCTCCTTGGCTCTGTAATCACTCTCAGACACTCAGTGACTTATTATCTGTGTCTTGCTTAGCGGCAGCCTTCCGTCCCACTCGCGCGCTGCCTCCGCCCCTGCGTCTCTCTTCCATCATGGCAGACCGGTTCCCTTCGATTGAAGACATCGATGCAGGTAAGGCTTAGATCTGATTCGCGCAACATCATAGACTTCGTGTACCACAAATCCCTAACAACTGAGACAGGTGAAACAGATATCCGCCCCGATCCGGCTGCCCAAGGCAGCTTTCTCGAGCGCGAACGGGCGTTGCTGGGAGAGGACGCCGAACTATTCAATGCCAACGATAGACCTGGTGCTGCTACCGTCGAAGACGGCGACGACGATCTATTAGGTGGTGACGGCGAGTTCACATCTGCTCCAGTACTGCCATCAGGTGGTGACGGGCAACATGACCTAGACGACTTTGAAAGCTCCTTCCCTGCCATTGACACACGAAACGAGGTATGCACCTCTAACATTGCTTTTGGAGAAGGGTGGCTAGTTGACTGACACAAGAGAAAATGAACAGAATGTCGCACCGGGCGGCACCATAACTGATTCGACCCCCTTTAGCGGCTACACAAACTACACTGCTCCAGTACAAGATGAAGACACTGAACCCATCCGTGAATGGCGAGCCAAGCGGGACGCCGAAATTGCCCGCCGCGACGAAGCCAGCCAGCGCAAAAAGGAAGAGACAATCTCCACCGCACAGAAGGACATCGACTCCTTCTACGAATCCTACAACCGAAAAGTCGACAAGCAAAAGGCACAGACTGCGAAAGAGGCAGAGGAATTTCTAGCAAAGAGAGAAGATACTACTGCGGGAGGCACGGCTTGGGAGAGAATTGCCAAGTTGGTTGACCTTAGCGGGAAGGGGCAGTCGGGTGGTGGCGACGGAAGTTCCAAGAAGAGAATGCGTGAGTTGCTACTGAGTCTAAAGGCAGACAAGGATGCGCCAGGCGCGGCGGGGGTTTGAAGACTGGAGAGATAGGTGATGGCTGGGCCGCTGGGAAAAAATGGAAGGAGAAATGGAGATGGCCTATTCTGGTGGCTCTCAGCCATGGGGAGACTGGAGTCGACGACTGACACTTTTTGCGTGGTGGTTTCTCCGAGCTAAAAGCTTTTTGAGGATGCTGTCGACATCTCTCGGGCGAGGTCTGAAGACAGTCGTTCGGGGAAGGGGGAATGACAACTGGCGTTTTAGAGTCGGCATCATGGTATGTAATGGATCTATGCACGCGCGAGGTCCTAAACGTGGGATGGATACCTTTTGCGAACAAATACATTGGAAGCATTAAGTTGAAGAGGTTTCTTGCGCGCTCGCCTGGTGCAGAAAAAGAGTGGGAGGAATCGACGAGATACAAAGACCGAAAAGGAGAAACTGCTCATAATTTGCACACGTCTGCCATTTCGGACCCAACTACGACTGACCTATTGACCGATCTGCTGTAACCGGTGCTGGCAGTTCCCAGCCGTATCAACCTCCAGCCTGCTCTTCTCTCCTGTGTAACAGACACGCCTTACACACGGATACAGCCTTGCCATACATGCTGTTCCGCCACCAGCTCGTTACCCAACCCCTTCTCTCTTCCTCCCTTCACCTTTCAATCCGCCCCTGCTTCTGCACCGTCTGATGGCATCTCCGAACACAGCGTTGTCCCGAAATGCGACCAAGAGAGAAAAAAAGACGAGAATCCCCACTTTCCACTCGAACACATACATACATGATGAGCAATCAATACCGAAAATGAAGCACTCATTGACCAAGCGATGACACGCCACCTTCGATCCATGCATGCATACTTGTCCAGCAGGGCCTATGTAGAGCCCCGAAAAATACAAGACCCGAGTATTTCGTATCGAGCATTAGAGTAGTATTTAGTGGTTCGCAGCATAAAATTTTTTTTGTGCTTTTTCTTCTTTCTGGTTTTTGAGATGGGCGTTCTAACAAGCATGGCCACTGCATTGATTGCGTATTTGTTCGAATTCATTTCCGTTACCCCTTGTGAAATTCAATCATCGCGTAATGCATTTCCTTGGGAGAGCAATGAGATCTTCTCATGCTGTTTCGCTTTTCCCCCTTACCCCATAACGCCGCACGCCCTTGAAACTTCGAATCAAACCAAGTGTGAAAGAGTCGAGCCGCGTTTTGCTGCGCTGACATGATTCCGCCGTCTGTATGGGACTAAGGCAGGCCGTGATTTCGTGCTACCACTTGCGCTTTGGCATGCGCTTGCGGCGATTCGAGACGATCTCCATCTGCGAGAGAAAATTTCGACCGAGGCGCTCCATGTCGGCAACTGCTTGTTCGGCTTGCTGCACGGCAGAATGAGCCGGAGCTGCACTGACGGCCGCCGAGTTCCCTGCAGCTGTCTGCGTAGAGCCAATAATTTGAGACTGCGGCTTCCCTTTCGCGCCGCCCATCTTGCTGATAATGTCGAAGGCGATAGTCTTCTTTCTTGCGCTTGCATCAACTAGACTTCCATCATTGCCATAATCGCCGCTACCATTGACTTTGAAGTTCTCCCCCAAGGGAGTGGGCATGGTTTGTGCGTAATAGTACTCCATCCAAGTTTGCAATCCGGTGTAGCCCTGAGCTTTTGCAATAATCCAAGCCATTTCGACATGGCCGATGAGCATGTCTTCGATTTGCCACGCCACGCCATCAAGGGCGAGATCACTCACGCCATGATGCATGACTGAAGCAAATGAGTGCATCATATCTACGCTGTCGGAGAACGTGAGCAGCTGGTCTCTGATCTCAAGTTCTCGCTCCGTCATCACCCAATCGGATTCGTCGTCTTGATCGGCTGTGGAAGCGGATTTAGTCTCAGCCGACGCTGCTGTTGGTTCGCTTGAGTTCGATAGATCATTTCGATGTCCCGAAGAACTCTCTGTCGCACCCTTCTCGAGGTTCCCTTTCTCGGGGTTGTTGTTCGATAGGTTGTTCTGGATGCTGGGAATATTGACCGGAACTTGTTTGAGACTAAGCTGCCGTTGCGTGTCAATTGATTCCTTGGCCGCTGGTTCCTTGGGAGGAGGAATCTCCGCAAATCGACCGGTTCCCACTTTCGCCCTCAGTTCTGCTATTCTTCTTTGGTTTCCTTCATAGGTTACAGGGCGTTCATGCAGGGCCAGAGCATTTTTCTCCAGCACGTCCCACAAGTCCTTCGGAGGTTTCAAGCCTTTCTTGATCATGGTCTCGAGTTCAGCAAGATTGATGTCGAGAGAGTGCTTGAGAACTTGGATCTGCTCAGCAAATTCCTGGTCTGGTTGACTGCAAAAACACTTCTTCTTTTTCTTCTTGTTACCCTCGATGCATTTCAAATGCGGCGTGAGACTTTTTGCAACGTCCCAATAAGCATTGACTGTCACTCGAACGTGGATATGTCGCGGAGGCCCGGCCCCAGTCCCGAGTTTAGCTGAAGACGAAGCAGCCTTTTCTGGGTTCTCCTTTCCTTTCTTGGTTACTTTCAGTGGCGCGGGGACGAGTGACGCGAATTTCTCGGTGACATAACGGGAATATGTCGCTTGACATCTATGCTCCGGCGAGCATCTGAACCTCGAGGAATCTTGGCATATGTGTACGTATCGGGAGAAGATATCTCGACACTTGTTGATTGGGGTCCGGCTTTCCATCAAAGTACTGAGGATGAACTGCTCGAGGTAACGCAGATTAAGTTCGGCTCGTATAGCGTCCATAGATCCCAGCACGAATGTGCATATGAAAGCCAGGAAGTCTGCGGCCATGATCGCGATCTCGAAATTGATCTGGCCGACTAACTCAAACATCAACATCGCGAAGGTATCTGCCATGGCTTGTCCAATGAAATTGAAAGAACGGGCCCATTCTTTGTTCTTGAGAGATTCACAATCTGCGTAAATGTCCCTTAGCGCCATAATGTTGATTTTTGCAGCTTCGGAGTCCTGTCTCATCTGTAATGCGATGCGCTGTGTAAG